GATCAGGTGGCTGTTGATGTGTGGCTTTATTTAAAGATTCTCTATTCTGTTCCATTGGTCTATATGTCTATTTCTACACTATGCTGTTTTGGCTGCTGTAGCCTTATAGTATAGTTTGAAGTCAGGTAATGTGATGGCTCCAGCTTTGTTCTTTTTGCTTAGGATTGATTTGGCTATTCAGGCTTTTTCTTGGTTCCATGTGCATTTTAGAATAGTTTTCTAATTCTGAGAAAAATGTCACTGGTAGTTTGATAGGAACAGTGTTGAGCCTCTAGATTGCTTCAGGCAGTATGACCATTTTACCTCTTAAAGGCTCTATGTCTTAATATCATCACATTGGCCATGGAAGAATATTGATTCTTCCAATATATGAGCTAGGAATGTTTTTCCATTTGTTTGTGTCACCTCTTATTTCTTTCAGCAGTGTTTTGTGGTTCTTCTTATAGAGCGTTTTCACCTCCTTGGTTAGATGTATTCCTAGGTGTTTTGTGTGTCTATTGTAAATGGAATTGCCTGTTTGATTTGGCTCTCAACTTGACTATTACTGGTGTATAGAAATGCTACTGATTTTTGTACATTGATTTTGTATCCCAAAACTCTACTGAAGTCATTTATCAGTTCCACAAGCCTTTGGCAGAGACTTTAGTATTTTCTAGGTACAGAGTTGTATTGTCAACAAAGAGAGATAGTTTGACTTTTCTCTTCTTTTCCTGTTTGGGTGCCTTTTATTTCTTTCTCTTGCCTGATTGCTCTGGCTAGGATTTCCAGTACTATGTTGAATATGAGTAGTGAGAGTGGGCATCCTTGTGGTGTTCTAATTCTCAATATTTGTCCATTTTTGGTTGTGTTGTCTTTTTACTAATGGGTTGTACATGTTCTGTATATATTCTAGATACAAATCCCTTATCAGATGTATGATTTGCAAACATATTCTCTCATTCTTTGACTTATCTTTTTACTTTCTTGATGGTGTCCTTTGAAGCAGGGGGTCTCCAACCCCCAGGTCATGGACTAGTATCTAGCCCCCATGGCTAGATACTAGTCTATGGCCTGTTAGGAATTGGGCTGCACAGCAGGAGGTAAGTGGTGGGCAAGCAAGCATTACCATCTGAGCTCCACCTCCTGTCAGATGAGTGCCAGCCTTAGATTCTCATAGGAGTGTGACCCCTATTGTGCATTGCACATGTGTGGGATCTAGGTTGTGCACTCCTTATGAGAATCTAATGCCTGATGATCTGAGATGGAATAGTTGCATCCCAAAACCAGCCCCCACATCGCCCACCAGTGTATGGAAAAATTGTCTTCCATGAAACCACTTCCTGATGCCAAAAAGGGTTGGGGACTGCTGCTTTGAAGCAAAAATGTTTTTAATGAGGTCAATTTATCTAGCTTTCTTTTGTTATTTGTGCTTTTGGTGCCATATGTGAGAATCCTTTTCTAAATCCAAGGTTATGAAGATTTACTCCTACGTTTTCTTTTAAGTATTTTATAGTTTTAGCCCTTTTATTTAAGTCTTTGATCCAGTTGAATTGTATATGGCATGAGGTAAGGATCCAATTTCATTTTGTTTTATACGGCTATCCAGTTATCCCAGAACCATTTCTTGAAAAGACTGTTCCTTCCCCATTGAATGGTCTTGATACTCTTGTTGAAAATCAGATGATCATAGATGTATGGGTTTATTTTTGAACTCTCAATTCTATTCTATTGATATATGTACCCAGCCTTACGTCAGTACCACATTGCATAAGCACCAATTGATTACTATTGCTTTGTAGTAAGTTTAGAAATTTGAAAGTATAAGTCCCCCTATTTTGTTCTTTTTCAAATCTGTTTTGGCTATTTTGAGTCCCTTGCAATCCCATATGAATTTGAGAATAATCTTGTCAATTTCTATGAAAGTCAGTTGGGATACTTATAGGGATTTTACTGAATCTGTAGGTCAGTTTGGAGAGTATTGCCATCTTAACCATGTTAAGCCCTCTGATTCATGAACATGGAACATTTTTTTCATTTCTTTAGATTCTCTTTAATTTCTCCAATAATGTTTTATAGTTTTCAGCTAATAGGTTTTACACTACTGTTGTTAAACTAATTCCAAGTATTTTATTATTTTTGGTGCTATGGCAAATAGAATTGTTTCCTTAATTTCATTTTCAGCTTATTTATTTCAGGTGTACAAAACTACAACTGGTATTTTTATTTTGATCTTGTATCCTGCAAGCTTACTGATCTCTCTTTAATAGTTTTTAGTGGACCCCTTAAGATTTTTCTATACATAACGTCGTGTCATCTGCAAGTAGAGATAGCTTTATTTCTTCCCTTTCAATCTCGGAACATTTTATTTCTTTTTCTTGCCTCATTGCCCTGACTAGAACCACCAGTACAATGTCAAATAGAAGCAATCAGAAAGTCTTGTTTCTGATCTTAAGAGAAAATAATCCAGTCTTTCACCATTAAGTACAATGTTAACTGTGGGCTTTTTATAGATGTTCTTTATCAAATTGAGGAAGTTCTCTTCTATTCCTAGGTTAATGAGTTGGTGGTGGTGTATACATTCTTGGAAAGTGTTGAAGTATGACAAATGCTTTTATTGCATCTATTGAGATCATGTAAATTTTCCTTTTAATTCTATTGATACATTATATTATACTAATTAATTTTCAGATGCCAAACTAACTTTGCATTCCTGGAATAAATCCTACTTAGCCGTGGTGTATAATTCCTTTTATATGTTGCTAGAATTTGTTTGCTAATATTTTGTTGAGGATTCTTATGTTCATATTTATAAGATATTGATCTTTAGTTTTATTTCCTTATGATATCTTTGTCCTGGTTTGATATCTAGAGTAATGTTCCCTCCTCTTCTATGTAGAAATAGGCTATAAACATTCATAGGAATCTTAAATAACAAAGTTGAGATAATGGCTACCTCGGAGGAAGAAGACAGAGGTACACATAGAGCTCTAGCTCTTTCTATAAAGTGTTAACTAATTTAAGAAAAATCCTGAAGCAAATATGGCAAAATCTTAAAATATTAATAAATCTGGGTTATGCATATTATTCTTAATAATGTTCATAATATTTTCTAAAAATATAGTCTTAACAATGTATGTGTACAAGAATGTTCAACATTTTAATAATAAACGTTAGAGTGGTGAATAATACAAAGGGAAAAATATTTGCAATGTTAGGCTGAGAATTGGCTCCCAAAAGTTATTTAGGTCTTAATCTCAGGAACCTGTGCATGTCACCTTACAGAGAAACAGGATCTTTGAAGATGTGATTAAATTAAGGATCTTGATATGGGGAGATTATCCTGGATTATCCAGTGGGCCCTAAATGCAGTCATATGTATTTTTATAAGAGAGTGGCGGAGGAAGGTTTGACACACAGAAAAAAGGATATGAAGTGAGAGGAAAGGGAGATTTGAAGATAGCGCCCTTAAAGATCGGAATAATAAATAGATATAAGCCAAGGAATTCTGGTATCCACAGACAGAAGCTGGAAAAGGCAAAGAAAGGATTCTCTTCTAGAATTTCCAGAGGAACCACAACCCTGCCAGCACCTTGGTTTCATCCCAGTCATATTGATTTTTTAAATTTTATTTTGAGATGACAAATAATTGTATATATATTTATGAGTTACAATGTGATGTTTTGATATATGTTTACATTGTGGAATGATCAAATCAAGATAATTACCATTCTTATCCTTTTTGTGGTAAAAAACATGCAGAATCTACTCTTTTGGCAATTTTTAAATATACATTACTATTTATTATAGTCACCATTCTGTGCAATGAATCACTAAGTGTATTCCTCGTGTCTAGCTGAAATTCTGTACCTTTAAATCAGTATCTTCCCTTTCCCTATTCACTCCCCTCCCCTAGCCTCTGGTAACTACCATTTTACTCTCTAATTCTATGGGTTCAACTTTTTAGATTTCACATATGAATGTGATCAGGCTGTATTTATCTTTCTGTGTCTGACTTGTTTCACCTGCCTAATGTTATCCAGGTTCATCATGGTGTCACCAGTGATACCAATTTCTGATTTCTTGCCTCCAGAACTGTAAGAGATAAATTTCTGGTGTTTTAAGCCACCAAATTGGTGGTAATGTTACAACAGCCACCAGAAACTAACACAATTGCTGAAACTTTTACCAGAGAAAATGTTTTTCCTGAAACAGAGTTGTTCTAACAAGACAATTTCTTTCCTCTTGATCTGTTCATAGATGCAAATCTACTTCTTGCCATGTAATTCATTATTAAGGCTTCAGCAAAGTCACAGAAGCTGTCATTGAATAAAATGGGTTCCATTCCCGTTTGTGTGGCTGCATAATAATTACCTCATAATGCAGTGGTTTAAAATAACGGCTATATTTAGTTTTCTCATAATCTGCAATTTCAGCAGGCTTGGTAGGTTAGCTCATCTCTGTTCCACTCAGGATTGGCTGAGGTTCAAAGGCAGGGACCTGGAAGCATTTGAAGGTTTACTCACTTAGAGTTGGAGGTTGATTCTATCAGCTGAGATTTTGGCTGGGGTTGTCAACTAGAAAACCTGCACGTATCTCTCCATACGGCCTGGGCTTGTAGATAGAGAAACACAAACTGCTTTTCCTTCTATACTCACACCATTCTCAATTCATGCTTCACTTCTGACATAAAATGTATAGAAAAAAATCAACTGTTTGTCTCTATACTCACATTCAGCACTACTGTAGTCAGATATGGGTTGTTTTTTTTTCCCATACTGAACAATTCTCCTATACCAGCTGGATGACCTATGATTCAATTCAACTCTGACACTAACTGGAATTAGTATCTGCACAGGTTAAGGTTGTAGCCCCACCAGACTGCCCCCCACTTCAGATGCAATCGCAAGTGGTAGGTCCTCAGTTTCCCCACAACGTCTATCTAGCTTGACTACAAATTAGAGGTTCTCATAATCCCCTCCTGAGTTAAACAATTTGCTAAAGCAGCTCACAGAGCCCAGGAAAATGGTTTACTTACTATTACCAATTTATTACAAAGGCTTATACGAAGTTCATTTTAAAGGATACAAATGAACAGCCAAATGGAGAGATACACAGGGCAAGGTCTAGAAGGGCCCTGAGCATGGAGGTTTCTGTCCGCATGGAATAGGGGTGTGCCTCCCTCACCCAGCACACAGATGTATGTATTACCCAGAAGCTCTCTGATCCCTCAGGGTGGAGTAGGGATAGATGTAAAGAAATAGCTAATTTATCCTATAAAACCATTACCAATATTTTCATATTCTCGCACTAATTTGTGCATTCTATTGCTCTTTGTATCTTATAATAAGTTTCGCAGAACTATTTAGCACAGAAATCAGCTGATGGTTAGCTAAATCCTATTTCTCTTCAAGTCAGTCATTTTTCATAAGTATTACATCCTGGAGAGACTTTAACTCAATCTCCCAATACGTTGAATCACCAATATCAGTAGTATCGTAAGATTTATTTATACTAGGTAATTGAATCTTACTTACAACACCAGTATGACACCATATCACAGTATGATCATGGGACAACTCAGTTTCATAAAAGAATAAATCAGTAAGAATTACAGAGGAATTTGTCTTGTCTTCCCAGTGGAATCCACTCTTGGCCATTTGTCAGATATTATTAAGGAAGGGCATTATTACAATTGGCCATGTTAGTTATTTCTGGGTTTCTAGTTAATTGAGGACAAAAGGAATCACCCCACCTCATCTCACAGGCTTGTACTGAGGCTGGTTTCTATGGTGTGTTATTATATAGCAAGGCCCACCTCTTTCCTGCAGGGAGGACACAGGTGGTATTTAGATGGTTCCTATTTCTACCAACTGTACTGCAGGATATATTTCATTTTGACCTATGCTGTGGGGGAGAGCAGTCATAGTCTATCAGTGTAACATTACAAGTGCCCTCAGAGAACTTCCATAAGTTTGGAAGGCCCTCAGACTCCCATGGGTGGGTCTTTGACCTCAGCAGCCAGAATAGCAGGTCACTGCCCCACGGCCACTTCAGCTTCCATCTGTATTAAAAGAGTCAAGAGGCCCTGTTGAGTCAGGTACAAACCCTGGGCTGGGTGTTAGCAGTGCCCAGCATTGTCTGTTGAGCCAGCCTGATCCACTTTGCTAAAGCCTCATTATCCTTCTGCCCTGACTCCCATCCTTTGCCGTCCTCCTGGAAGAGAATTTCCTCTGTTCTGTCTCTTCTAGTTAATAAATCTTTTTCCTCCGAATACTGCTCCACATAAACAGTAAACTCAGCTTGTCCCAGGATACCTAGACCTGCACCTATCTCTCCTGAGGCCCTTTTCTGTCTTACGAGCCGGTGTTGTTTAATCTACCATGCATATCATTGCTGTTGTGTACTAATGGCCTGAATGCAGTTAGAATAAATGTTTTGCAAAAAATATTGGGTCTCCACACTGGAGTTAGATGATTGGTGTTTACAGGTAGATGTAATTTAATTTGAGAGTGCCATAAGGCCTCTCACAGCCTTCCTTGTTTCGGGTGGGGTCATTCCCTTGGATCTACCATGTGACGCCAACTCCTTTAATCCCACCAGAGGCCCATTGTTTTTCCCTATTCTGTTAATAGCTTTCTGTCCATAAAAACAAGAGTGATATATATTTATGCATAGCCTAAATGCATGCTATGTTGGGCATGCTACCTTCATATTTTTTTCTATTATAACCAGGGACTTTTCTAAGCATTTGACCATCAGGTTTATAGTTACCACAGTGATCAGTCTGTTGGGAGCCATACACCATATAGATTGAAGTCTCAGTAGAAAGCAGTCCTCAGAACTCCCTCCCCAAAGGATATCCTTTGTAGTTGACGTAGCCTGAAAAATAGAAGTCAAAAGATACCACTGGTACATTGCTAGAGTCCCATTTAGTCATTAACAGTCTAATTCATCATCGTACCATATGATCAGAATGGCTCCCAGAACAATGTCTCTCAGGTTTGCAGGCTGTCGTTCAACCTTGTCGGGTTCCAAAAGCAGGGGTGGTCTCAGCAAACATACAGCTTCACCCTTCCAAACATCTGTTCATAATTGTGCTAAGAAATAATATCCTGATCTGAGTCTCTCCTGAGGTATTAAGACAATGTTGGATTTCCCTCATTGCATACCTCATATACGCACTGTATTCCTTTACCCCCAGCTATTATTACTCCTTCTCTCCATTTGTCATTTATTTTGACCCAGAGTTTTCTATCTTTGGGAGGGCCATTGCTGACAGTGATGCTAGTCTAACAAGTGCCTCCCTTTTGGTCCATTTCCATTCACATAGGGTCAGGTTACCTGGGTGCAGAACTGTCCTATCAGGGATGTCAGGGCTAACCCAATCCCTAGGCAACACAGCAATACTCACAGATGTGAATTCACACTATCAGGACCTTAGGAATTCTGGCCTAAATGTTTAAAAGTTAGTTACACTATCTTGCCTAGAAATCATCCTTGCTTGCTTACAGCGCCCACAGTCACATCCCTGGTCCAGGACCCCTAGCATCAGGCAGTGCTCCAGTGCTTCTTACTGGGACAAAAAAAAAGTGAGATTATCTGGGACAAATCATATAACCACACTGGCAGCAGGAGGGAGATTCCCGCTTTGCCAGATCCCCCAGAAAAGTGATAAATCTATCCAGGGGGAGCCTTCCTTTATCCTCCCACATGTTGAGTGTGAGCACACACTCATGAAGGCAAGTCCCTCATGCCTTTGTCTTCTGTTTTAGGCAGCGAATATTTCAATTGCCTCTTTCAATTATCTATTAAACCATTATCCTGAGGATGATATGCAACATAATATGTCCATTTGATGTAGTATTTCTTTGCTTACTGTTGGACACTATGGGTTGTAAAATGCATCCTTGGGCTAAAGAAATGTAGTTTGATGAGCCAAATTGCAACAGTATTGTCTGTTCCAATCTTTTAATAGTATTTTCAGCATTTGCATTTACTACCAGTCCAGAGTAAGTGTCTATTCCTGCTGGGACCAATTTGTAGCTCCCAGGGGCTGTTGGCATTGATCTAATGTAATCCACTTACCAGCTATGTGTGGGGCCTTCCCTGTGTAGAATCTTCTCTGTAGCCGTCTGCAGTCTCTGTCTCTCTTGTTGACAGACAAAACAGCTCTTGGTGACATTCTGTGCCTCAGAGAGTAAAGAGGAATATGTCTACATTCAGTCCATTTCTGCATGGCTATAACCCCCACACCATGTTCACTTATTTCATGGACCCAGATGACCACCTCAAGGGAGAGCATCAGTAAGTCTATATGGTGGTTTAAGTTACCTCCTGAACCTGTAAGGGGTTCTTCAATGCTCCCCTTAATTTCCCATAGTAATTGCCATAAGGCCACACCACATAAGACCATCCCTTCAATAGCCCAGTTTTCCATTGTCCATCTATCTGACCACACAGCCAGACCATTGGCTATTGCCCATAAGTCTATAAAAACCCAAACATAAGGGCTTTTACCATTGTTAAACTTTTCCATCATTGCTAAAAAAAACAGCATGTAATTCAACCCATTAAGTCAATTTGTTCTTAACTTCTTCAACTAGTCTTTCTATCTTCTGGTCTTAATGCAACAGATCTCAAGACACCATAATGTCCATCCATCTTGGAACTGCCATCCATAAACCAAGCGGTTCTTTGTCAGCCCATTAAGAGCTGTTCATAGGGCACTGTCCACATGGCAATAGATTCTGGCAGTTCTTCCAGTGGTTCTCAAGCCAGTTGTAGGGGACCTCAGGCTAGCTACTTATGGATACAGTAGGTGCCTCCTTGCATTCCACCAGTAGCATGCTTCTGTATAAACCATTTCCACTTTATCATGGAGCTCTTTTGAGCACTGCCTTCCTTATTAGAGTGTTTCTCTGACATCACCCAAGACATTATTAGCATCTCAGGTTTCATGATTATTTTATGTCCTTCAGTCACTGAGGTCATCTCAATTAAAACCCAGTAGCAAGCTAGTAATTGCTTCTCAAATGATGTGTATATGGGGCGGCAGCATCTGGAATCCCAGGCGCTCGGGCTTTTACCATAAGCTGCAGTTTGCATGAGCACTGGTAGCAGACACTTTCAAAATCATCTGAATGGAGATCATAATAGCTCAGAGGCATTGAGAGAGCTATTGATTTTTGTAATTCAGATATGGTCTGCATGTCCAGGTCCCCACTTATCGTGGTTTTCTTTCAGGTAGTCTTATGTATAGAAGCTGGCAATATTTTCAGATGTGGAATGTGCATTCTCTAAACTCCAAATACAACAACCAAATGCAAGGTTTCATGTTTGGTCTTAGGGGTGATTAACAATAACAGTTTATTTTTAGTCACTTGTGGAACTGGGTGGCTCCTACCTATGTTATTCCTAAGAATGTTACCATGTGGGTAAGTTCTTGGATCTTTGCCGGAGTTACTAACTAGCCTTGGTTGGTCATGTGAGTTCATCATTGCATTCAACTCAATCTTAACCTGGCTCTTTAGTTTCCAATATTATCATCTCATCATCAATATGGTGCATTATTACACTTGAGACCTGCATCAAGCCCAAATCCCTACTGACCAAATGATGACAGCAAACCAGTGAGTTCAGATGACCCCATGGTAGCACAGTATATGTAGACTGGGATCCTTCCCACATTTAAGAGCAAACAGTGTTTGGCACTTTCTGAGATTAAACTAGAGAAGAATGTTTGCAAGATCTATCACTGAGTAGCAGTCTTTCTGTATGATTGAAATCATGTCTAGAATTACTGACGCTATAGGTTGTACAAATATATGTATTTAAGCCTCAGTAGTCTACTGTTTGTTCTCCATGAGCCATCCTCCTTTTATAAGGGCCACACAGGGCTGTTGTTCAAAAAATTCTTTTGTATCAGCACTCCTGCATCTAGCATGTCGTTAATTAAAGTGTGAATCTCCTTTTGCAACCCCCCACCTCCCTCTGCCACTCTCAGGTACTCTGTATTGTTTTAAATTAACCACCTGTGTGGATTCAGGCAGTTCTAATAGTTCTCATTTAGCACATTCAAAGAAAACTGACCTCAGGGAAGACTTACATAACTTCTAATAACAATATTAGGTAGAGGAAGCAATCCGCAGTCAGACATAATATCCATCCCAATAATACATTCAGGTAAAGGTGACACAACCAACTCACATAGTTTTTTCAAGAATTCCAATTGTCCTCCAAACTTCCATGTTAATCCCACCAACCACTGAAGCTCCATGTACTCCCCCAATCTAACTTTAGCTCCTGTTAAGTTTTCACCAACAGATTTTGGAATTACAATGCATTGACCTCCTACATCAAGGAGTCCCAGAAAAGTCTCTTCTCCTTCCACTGACCATTTCATCCACACATATGCACACGTCCTTGGGACCCCAGTCAGCTGGCGGTCTGGCCAGGAGACCCTGGCCCCTCATCAATCTTGACTAACCTGCTTAACCATCACCCCAAGCAGTTCTGAGTAATCTCTGACTTTTTAAGTTTCTCCAAACTGGGGTAAATGGAGCAAACGTGTTTGGGGCCTTTCAGTGTCGGGAGACAAACAGAAAGACAAACCTCCAATAGTGCTGCATCAATACTTCTGTTTCAACACCATCAATATCTACAACATTCATCCGGTTTCTCAATAACCATTTAAAGACTTCTGCCATGCTAGGACAAGTCCATGCCTCTCTTCTTTGTCTCATTTCTTTTTAATTACTATAATGTCCTTGATCAGTAAGACCCATAAGGGGAAGCTGAGACAGCAAATCTGGTAAGGTTTCTCAAGCTATTGTTCCATTTTGCAGAAGTACACGTGGGGTGCCCATGGAAAAGGAACTCCTTTAATCACAGCATTTTCCATAACCTCGTAATGGGCATGTAATTGGCAAAAGGGTCTGGCTGCTTGTAGCTTGTAAAAAGAAGCCAATATAGCAAGAGTAAAGTGTGACAAAAAGAGAGTGAGATTTTATTATCCATGCTAGCAAGGGGACGAGGGGTGTAATATTTTCCAAAAATTTCCACTCTCCAATTTGTGGAGAGAACACAGGGGTGGGTTTTAAATAGAAGGTTTAGAATGCAGAAGAGGCAGGTGGCCTAGGAGGTGTCAGGTGGCATGACCAATCCGATGGCTTGTCTTAAGTTATTGTTCCAACAGGTTGAAGGGCTGGCACCATTGTGGCTGGAGGTGTCTGGTCCATACCAGGATACGGCCCCTGAAGCTTCTAAGGAAATATATGACCAGATAAGTGAGTATGGTGTTTGCCTAGCAAGCATATAGGTAAATAAATGTGCTTAAGACATGGGAGCATAGAAGGGGAAAAGAAAAGGAGTGGATGCTCACAGAACATTCCAAGGCTGTATTTCAAGATGACACGTAACACATATACAATTTGTCTCAAAGTCATATCTTGAGATTGGAGAGAAAGGAGGACAGAAAACCCAATTTTAAAATGCAGTTTGAAGCCAGGCTGCTCAGTTACAGGCATATTCAGCAGACGAATGGCCACTCCTCATAAAATTTGCATACGAAGCCTATCAGCTGCATCATCTGAGATGTTCCACTTGGCATTTATGGGGGAGTTAGCAATCCCACTTTTAGGATAAACACACTTTATAGCCATACCGTATAGGAATAACCCCCCTGTATAGAGGGATTGTTCAATAGTGAGTTGTGGATCCTGAATCAACTCAAGCATGTGCTTCCACTCTGTAGCATTCAAAACCAAAGACACAGCCCCCAAATTAGCTACTCTCACAATCCGTGTTAGTAAAGGTTCTTCAGAGAGCTGACGATATCAATCCACGAGATGAGATAATTTATTCATGCAATACCCCCAGGTTTCAGTAGTCTCTTGGCTTGTCCCTTTCCCCAAGCTGACTGCCTTCTTGGTGACCAGATACTATCTATTGTCCCTGGTTAACTTTTCCCTTTGCAAGCATCTCTGAGGCTAACAGCCAAAGCTCATCCAAACCAAAACTAAGGTTGGTGCAGGATTCAAAGTCCAATTCCACATTTTCTTTCATTGTTTGCTATTATAAATAACAACAACCAAAGGATTGTATGTTTAGTATATTTCTTATTGTTTTGCATTTCCTCACGTATCCAATAAGCCAACTCCTCAGAAGTTGGGTCTAGCACCATTTCTAAATGCCATTGGTAAGCCTGATCAATCAACTCAGGCTCTAGCTCCTCTCCCCTCTTCAGAGGATGAGATGTGGAGCTAAAAGTTCCAAGCTTCTAAGCATGCCTTGGTTTTTCTGGTGGCCAGTACCCACCGAGGAGCCCACCAAGCGTCAGCTCACTAGAACAAAAGAGGCTCCTATCACCTAGGAAATTCCAAGGGATTTAGGAGTTTTGTGTCAGATGCTCCTATCACTATGGAAATTACTAAAATCTTAGAAACCCTGGGTACAGAACTGGGGTCTAAGACCAAATATTAGAACAAAAGATTCTCCTAGCACCTCTTTTTACAAGAGTTTTGAAACTTATGTGTTAAAAACTGTGGGTGGAGGCCAGGTGTGGTGGCTCACGCCTGTAATCCCAACACTTTGGGAGGCCGAGGTGGGTGGATCATCTGAGGTCAGGTGATCGAGACCAGCCTGGCCAACATGGCAAAACCACATCTCTACTAAAAACACAAAAATTAGCTGGACATGGTGGTGGCTCCTGTAAACCCAGCTACTCAGGAGGCTGAGGCAGGAGTATCACTTGAACCCAAGAAGCAGACATTGCAGTGAGCCGAGATCACGCCACTGCACTCCAGCCTGAGTGACAGAGTGACACTCCATTTCAAAAAAATGAAAAAAAACGGTGGGTGGAGACTTATATATATATATATTGTTTGTTTGTTTGTTTGTTTGTTTGTTTTTGAGACAGAATCTTGCTGTGTCACCCAGGCTGGAGTGTAGTGGCACAATCTTGGCTCACTATAACCTCTGCCTCCCTTGAGTAGCTGGGACTACAGGTGCGTGCACCATGCCTGGCTAATTGTTGTATTTTTAGTAGAGACGGGGTTTTGTCATGTTAGCCAGGCTGGCCTCAAACTCCTGACTCCAAGTAATCTGTTCACCTCGGCCTCCCAAAGTGTTGAAATTACAGATGTGAGCCACCGCACATGACAACATATATATTCAAAGTCCAACTCCACATTTCCTTTCAGTTTTTGCTATTATAAATAACAACAACCAAAGGATTGTATGTTTAGTATGTTTCTTATTGTTTTGCATTTCC